TGTGGGTGATCTAAGTTGGACTTTTGACTCTAAAACAGCTATAATCCAAGAAAGGTAAAATTCTAATGGAGGTAAAGAATCCTGACTGATTGTTCCCTTTGATGTCCAAATAAGGGACTGTCGTGAGTACTTATGCTACACTTACTATAAGAATGATATTGTTTGTCTTTCTCCTGGGCTGGATAGCGGACTATATTTTATTATAGGCTTTGAGAGACATCTGTCATGTTGCATAACTGTTCATATTAATAACTTAATAAATAGTATATGAAGCTATAATGGCATCATTTGGTTTTTTTCGTATATTTTATCTATATTTCCAACTCCTAGAATAGGGCTTGCTATTGATGTTCAACAAATATTTGTTGACTGAATGAATGAATCCTGCATCCGTGAAGTTTCCAGACTGCCTGAACTAATTCCAGAAAGATAGACTGACTGACTGATAGAGAGTTTGAGATTTGATAGTTTGTCTGACTTTAGGGAAAAAATTTTAACAAAAGCATCCTAAAATCATAGACGTGAGAGAAATTACCATCTAGGCCAGCTACCAGCCATCAATTTGCTAATATGCTAGGAACTCCCATCTCCAACAAAATAAAGTGCAATTCAAAGTACTCATCATTGTATAGAAAGACCAGAAGGCTGTGATGGGGGCTACCAAATTATATGGTACACTGATGTGCCATTGCAGTGGATGGGAGAGTCTATAGACTGTACTCTCCCTTATCTCCTACTAAATCTTAGTCCTAGAGACCACTATTAAGTTAGTTTGCTACCCACTAAGAGTACATTCCAAGGGAGACGACGGGAGGAAAGAATAGCACAACAAAGCTCTAACTGTCCATCTTGAGCCAGTACTAGAACATAGATGAAAAGCGCAGGAATTCAAGCAAAGAAGATGCCTGAGTGCAATGCACTAGAATACCCCTTTTCCCCCAGCCCTGTTAGCAACTTGGAGTCATGTCAACCCACCCGACTAGACTGTAACCTCATTGTGCTCAAAGCAAACACTAGCCCATAATCCAGTGTTTTCCTTGATTAAAAAAAAACATGTTTTGAGCATACTGTCTGATAAGAATGGAGACACAGAAGAAAACTTTTTCATCTAAAATGATTTCTTGAATGGAATAGAATGCAGTTCTCATATGCAAGCATTAGTCTGAAGGGTTCTGAAAAATGCTACATGTGAAGAATTCAAAAAGAAATGCTCTTTGGTATAATTAGGAGGCTTATTATCTAATTCTCTTGAACATACTGGGTGAGGATATCTAGATGTTAAGACATTTACTTAGGTGAGCATTACCCTTTGTATCCAGCTGTTACTGGAATCAGTAAGCTTAAAAGCCAGTTAACATTAGGACACTATAACATTTGTATTATACAAGTGTCTATTAAAAAGCATGTAATAATATTTGGGATGAATCTTTATAGCTGTAGCCAGGAAAACTGAGGTCTTTTTTCACAGGTGTGATCTCTAACTTTGCCTACATACATACATACATATAAATAATATGCCATGTAACTTCGCTCTGTTGTCCAGGCTGGAGTGCCGTAGCACAATCTCGGCTCACTGCAACCTCTGCTTTCCAGGTTCAAGCGATTCTCCTGTCCCAGCCTCCCAAGTAGCTGGGATTACAGGCGTGCGCCCTGACACCTGGTTAACTTTTGTATTTTTAGTGGAGACAGGGTTTCACCACGTTGACCAGGCTGGTCTTGAACTCCTGACCTCAAGTGATCCACCTGCCTCGACCTCCCAAAGTGTTGGGATTATAGGCGTATGTTTTATAGGTGTGTCCGACTCAAGTGTTACGTACTTTAAAAGGGTGATACAGTGCGAAGAGTACTGTCTTATCTATAGTCATATCCTGGGTCTGTTACATACCAGCTGTGTGACCATAGCCAAGTAAACTTAAACTCTTTGGGCCTGATTCTCAATAGGACAAGTTTAATAATCCCTACTTCCCTTAGGATTTTCATGACAATTGAAACTTTTAGACATTCAAGACAAGGTGAGATGGAATTGTGATATCTTAGGGCCTAACCTGTATACTCCTCTCTCACTGCTGCAGGATTCCCAACTAAAAGGATTCAAAAAACAACCCTCAAACAGAAAATAGTATACCTATTAATAGTTTGTAATGTAGAAACAAAACGACTCACGCCTGTAATCCCATCTACTTGGGAGTCTGGGACAGGAGAATCGCTTGAACCTGGAAAGTGGAGGTTGCAGTGGGCCGAGATTGTGCCACTGCACTCCAGCCTGGATGACAGAGGGAGACTCCGTCCCAAAATAAAAATTAAAAAAAACTTTTAATGAAATTGAGCTTTTTAGCTGTAGCCACAGAGATTCTGTCTAACAAAAAAAAAATGGACAATACACATCTGTCTCCTATTTATAACACTGAACAGGAACTTAATATGATGACAATTCATTTTTATATATTGGAACCAAAGTATCAAATCAAACTTAAGCCAGGTAGGTACTGCTGCCTGCGGTTCTTCTGACCTTTGCTCTCTTGATCTGGTGGTCTTCTCTGGTCTACCAGCAGGAAGCCCAGAGAAGGTCAGCACCTCTGACCTTGACCTCCCTTCAGGGAGGTTCTGCTCAGCATGTTGGTGCTTAGTTCCTTTATGTCTAGCATAGGCATATCAGACAGATACCTAAAACACTTAGAACTTAGGAAGGAAGGGATGATTGAATACAATTATAAGATGATATGAGAAAATATTAACCAGAGGAGCTTTGACTTCAGACTCATCTTTGGAGGAACCCAAAATAGTTCCTAATTTCAGTTAAAGCCAACTATCGGTAGACAGTTCCGTTGCCCCACCCTCCCTTTTCTCAAGTTTCCAGAATGCAACCCACTCTCCACCATGCTTCTCCTACCATGACTTCCTTTTTTGTGTAGGTAAGAAAAGTAGAAGACGTGTTAATGAATCATATTCTGCTCTTTTCACCCACACAGCCTCATCCCCTAGTACCCAGCAGAAGTTAGAGGAAGTAACACAGCAGAGTGTCCATGTAGATACATCATATCCCAAAGTAATAACTATTAAGTCCTCTGCTTCCCACTTGCCTATTTCTTGTCCTCTTGTTACCCTATCACGATTGTGAAACGCAGCGACTTCCCCTAAGCCACAAGTGAGAACAAGATGTTCACTGACCTGAGAAAACCATCTGACAAAAATTCATTTCCTGTTAATAAGAAAACAGCTTGGCATTTGTGTTATAATATGATCTGACAGTTAGTTCATAGAAAGCATGCTTTGTTGTACCTGTGCCTAACGTCTGATGCAAAGCTTCAGAATGATGTTCCGGCATGCTTTCCCACAGCATTTGGCCAGTGTGTATTTTACATGGTTGAAGCATTGTGCCATGTGTAGCTATATCCTTTTTTCCCCCGACTTAAGAATTTCTCACGTTACTAAGAACTCAAGTTTTTATAAACCTCTTTTTTAATGGCTGCATATTTTTTGTTCTTTGTTGTGTTCTTTGTGGTTTTGAGACGGGGTCTTGCCCAGGCTGGAGTGTAGTGGTGCAATCTTGGCTGACCACAGCCACAACCTTCTGGGCTCAACTGATACACCTCAGCCTCCCTAGTAACTGGGACCACAGGCATCACCACTCTGCCCAGCTGCTTTTTTTTGTTTGTTTTTTTAATGTTGCAGAGATGAAGTCTCGCTTTGTTGCCCGGGCTAGCCTTGAATTCCCAGACTCAAGCGATCCTCCCAAAGTGCTAGAATTATAGGCATGAGTCACCATAATCCCATATTCTTTAATTATATGGCTGTACCAGAATCTTACTTAACCTTTTCCTGCATCTAGACATTCAAGATATATTCTGAGTTTTAAAAAAACAAACCCCAAATGCTAGGTTGTGTGTGTTTTCAGGTGCTAGGGTAGTTCCGCAACTAAAACCCATCTGACCTGCCAGTCCCTCTATTTTCTGCCCCTAATTGTTAAATCGAAGGCCCCAGTCCTTTCTTCCTCAGGGATCCTGATCAATTCCTCAGTGTGGCAGAGCTGCACTGCCCTGCCCAGCCTCTGTGCAACCCTTCCTGATGCACCCTTACTTTTCATCACCTCTTTAACACTCTACTCCAGCCAAGCCCTCCCCACTCTCCCAAGGGAACCCACAACAGCACCTCCTGGTGGGCAACCAAGCGTTACATCACTTATATCCACTCAACATCTACCACCCGCCCGTTACCAAATGTATCAGAGTGGGTCCAGAGTGTATCAGAAGAGGTATAGAGCACACCTACAAGTACCTATGGAACTGATGTTTAGCTAATTGGAGTCTAATTGCCTCTTAGCACTGCCATCAACTGCTAGCAACATATTTGCACCTCTAACCAAACCTGTGAACCACCACTGATTTCTTCCAAGCTGATAAACACTCTCCAGGCACCACTCACATGGAGAGGGGAGGGAAGGAGTGGAGAGCCTTTTCTTCCAAAAGAGTCATCATGAAACACTCGTCATGCTCTTCATGATTCTATCACCTGGCCAACCCGTTTCTTCCTCTATAGACTAGGGATGGCAAACTAGGGGCCCTCGCATGTGTTTTGTTTAGGCCACATGGTTATTTTTGGTTTTTTTTGAGACGGAGTCTTGTTCTGTCACCCAGGCTGGAGTGCAGTGGTGCCTTCTCAGCTCACTGCAAGCTCTGCCTCCCGGGTTCACGCCATTCTCCTGCCTCAGCCTCCCAAGTACCTGGAACTATGGGTGCCTGCCACCACGCCCGGCTAATTTTTTGTATTTTTAGTAGAGACGGGCTTTCACCATGTTAGCCAGGATGGTCTTGATCTCCTGACCTCGTGATCCACCCACCTCAGCCTCCCAAAGTGCTGGGATTACAGGCGTGAGCCACCACACCCAGCTTGGTATTTTTTTTTTTTTTTACAAAAAGGAAGAAGAAAAGGAGAAAAGAGGAATAGCTTTAAACATTTATAATTTAAGTGATTTTGAATAAAAATTCATTTCTCTGGCTTTTCTTTTAAAATGAGGAGATCTGGCAACCAGGGACTCTACATTTCAGGAGAAGAGCATGTGGCTGGGGCCTCCTTGAGACAGAATACGTCTCTCTACCGGATTAGATCCCCACCTGGTCATTCAGCTAAACTGCATAGCCCCTGGAAGCCTATGCATCTGTGACCCTGTGGATAGAGGCTGTCTGCTTCCAGAGCAGGAGAAAGGGAAATGGATTTTTAGGGACAGAGAACAGCACTATGGGAAAGGCCATGTTTAAAGGAGGTCCAAATATTTGACTGACGGTCATTTGTATGACCTGTACAAACTTGCACTGCCTTTAGCCCCCAGAGAAAAGACTTGCCATCCTGATAGTCAGTGACAGCTGCAGTCTGACAAGTGGCAGGAACATGAAAACAGCTGCAAGCCATGCCCAAGCCTGCACTCACCACATCCTGCTGATAGGAGGGAGGTGGTGCTGGCCCTCCTGTCCCTCTCCTCTCACAGGGCTGGCAGTAGCTTGTGGTGACTGCAGGAATTTAGAAAGTCCCTTAGCTGGGTCAGAAATGTAGCGCTTCTCCTGAGGCCAAAGGCATCTTCACCATCTTCTTTATCCCATGTGTCAGGGGATCTTATGCAATATGGAACCCTGCTCACCCAAGCTTACTGCACTCTGCTCTTGGAGGCCTCCCTTTGGAGAATTCCTAACACGACTCTACCTGCCAACCTCCCAGGCTAACCTATCAACCACAATTTCCTCTGGGTAGCCAACCCCACAGAAATGAGCCTCCTCATTTTAAAGGGCTCATACAATTAGAAGTTCTGCTCCATTCCAGCTAAGATTCCAGTGAAAAGAAACATTCTGCTCCTAAATGTTTCAACAACAGCATGTACCAAAGAACAGTATGTTCCCTATATACCCCGAGTGAGTAAGCCCCAACAGGCTCACAGAAAGACCAGATAATTCTCCATGACCTAAGCCAACAAGGGTTACATAGACCAGGAGCTAGAGCATGACAATGGCAGAGGAATAGTTACCAAACCTTGCGTTCGCTCGGGGTGGCCAACCCATAGCCAAAAACATGTCAGAACTCCTACATCCCTGCCATATTTGAAAAAGAATATAGTATCAAAAAGTGTTAAAAATGTCTTTGTGGAGTGTCCTTGGGGCGTAGGGGCCGACCGCACGCAGTCGCGCAGCGCTGCCTCCGCCTGCCAGTCTCTCCCGCGATCCCGGCCCGGGGCTGTGGCGTCGACTCCGACCCAGGCAGCCAGCAGCCCGCGCGGGAGCCGGACCGCCGCTGGAGGAGCTCGGACGGCAGGCTGAGCACCCCCGTTCCTTGGCTGAAGCCCGAGTGCGGAGAAGCCCGGGCAAACGCAGGCTAAGGAGACCAAAGCGGCGAAGTCGCGAGACAGCGGACAAGCAGCGGAGAAGGAGGAGGTGAACCCAGAGAGGGGCAGCAAAAGAAGCGGTGGTGATGGGCGTCGTGGCCATGGCGGCGGCTATCGCCAGCTCGCTCATCCGTCAGAAGAGGCAAGCCCGCGAGTGCAAGAAATCCAACGCCTGCAAGTGCAGCCCCAGCAAAGGCAAGACCAGCTGCGACAAAAACAAGTTAAATGTCTTTTCCCGGGTCAAACTCTTGGGCTCCAAGAAGAGGCCCCGAAGAAGACCAGAGCCTCAGCTTAAGGGTATAGTTACCAAGCTATACAGCCGACAAGGCTACCACTTGCAGCTGCAGGCGGATGGAACCATTGATGGCACCAAAGATGAGGACAGCACTTACACTCTGTTTAACCTCATCCCTGTGGGTCTGCGAGTGGTGGCTATCCAAGGAGTTCAAACCAAGCTGTACTTGGCAATGAACAGTGAGGGATCCTTGTACACTTCGGAACTTTTCACACCTGAGTGCAAATTCAAAGAATCAGTGTTTGAAAATTATTATGTGACATATTCATCAATGATATACCGTCAGCAGCAGTCAGGCCGAGGGTGGTATCTGGGTCTGAACAAAGAAGGAGAGATCATGAAAGGCAACCATGTGAAGAAGAACAAGCCTGCAGCTCATTTTCTGCCCAAACCACTAAAAGTGGCCATGTACAAGGAGCCATCACTGCACGACCTCACGGAGTTCTCCCGATCTGGAAGCGGGACCCCAACCAAGAGCAGAAGTGTCTCTGGCGTGCTGAACGGAGGCAAATCCATGAGCCACAATGAATCAACGTAGCCAGTGAGGGAAAAAGAAGGGCTCTGTAACAGAACCTTACCTCCAGGTGCTGTTGAATTCTTCTAGCAGTCCTTCGCCCAAAAGTTCAAATTTGTCAGTGACATTTACCAAACAAACAGGCAGAGTTCACTATTCTATCTGCCATTAGACCTTCTTATCATCCATACTAAAGCCCCATTATTTAGATTGAGCTTGTGCAAAAGAATGCCAAGCATTTCAGTGAACTAAATCTGGGAGGACGACTGCCAAATTTTCTCATGATCTCACCTGTACTTTGGGGATGATAATCCAAAAAGATTTTACAGCACTAATGCTGATCAAAATTTGCTCTCCCACCAAGAAAATTTCAAAGACCACAATTGTTCTTCAAAAACAAACAAAACAAAACATAACAAAATTAACTGCTTAAATGTATTGTCTGGGCAAACAAAATTATGTGAATTGTGTTGTTTTCTTGGCTTGATGTTTTCTCTCTACACTTGATTCACATGTACTCTTTTCTTTGGCATAGTGCAACTTTATGATTTCTGAAATTCAATGGTTCTATTGACTTTTTGCGTCACTTAATCCAAATCAACCAAATTCAGGGTTGAATCTGAATTGCCTTCTCAGGCTCAAGGTAACAGTGTTCTTGTGATTTTACCGATTTTTTTTTCTTTTTTTTTTTTTTTAGATTTGTAGTATTCTGGTCAAGTTATCGTGCTGTACTTTGTGTGTAGAAATTGAGTTGTGTTGTCAACCCCAGTCAGTTAAGATATCTTCAAAAAATTATCCTCAAGTGTAGATTTCTCTTAATTCCATTTGTGTATCATGTTAAACTATTGCTGTGGCTTCTTGTGTAAAGACGGGAACTGTGGAACTGTGATGTTGTCTTTTGTGTTGTTAAAACAAGAAATGTCTTACCTGTATATGTATGAGTCCTCCTGTCATTGTATTTGGCATATGAATATTGTGTGCAAGGAATTGTTAAGACTGGTTTTCCCTCAACAACATATATTATACTTGCTACTGGAAAAGTGTTTAAGACTTAGCTAGGTTTCCATTTAGATCTTCGTATCTGTTGCATGGAAGAAAGTTGGGTTCTTGGCATAGAGTTGCATGATATGTAAGATTTGTGCATTAATAGTTGTTAAAAATCTGTATTCTAAAAGTGGACATAGCATGTACAGGCAGTTTTCTGTCCTGTGCACAAAAAGTTTTAAAAAGTTGTTTAATATTTGTTGTTGTATACCCAAATACGCACCGAATAAACTCTTTATATTCATTCAAAAAAAAAAATATCTTTGTGGCAAATATGAATTATTTCTTCAATATCCAGCTCTCCTTATTAACAGAACCCCGATTTTCTTCAGGGACTAGTATGCCAAGCTTCAAATAGTCCAATTTTCCAGCTTTCCAAGCTAGTGCTAAAGTTCTATAGAAATCCCCGGATATGGCATCCTTTAGTGAATAGAAAGGAAAAGACCTGCTGGACAAACACTGTTTGCCCCTTCACCTTTTCCTTTTTTTCCCTCCTTCTTGTCTCAGATAGGGACCCAAGAAGTACAGCAGCCCTTTAGCAATTTTTTTGTAGAAACGTGAGGATGAAGGCCTGTACCTTAAGGACAGTGGAGCAGAAAGGTACAAAGAGCCTGGGCCCACAGGAGCATCAACGAGCTGGAGTAGCAGCCCTATGCTGAGAACCCTCATGCTGATGGCAGGAGACACACACCGGCCTGTTGAAATCCCTCAAGCAGGGTTTTCCATTATTTCAAATGGAATGAAATTTTGATTCATGAAGCTAGTTGTTAATGTATCAAAATCTCCCCCAGGACAATTTGTTCTGCTTAAAGGCCATGGCCACAGAACTCATGACAACAGAATCCAAAGGATTTAAACAACTGGGGCTACCAGTTTTAACCCTCAAAGTTCAAAAATACCCCAAACAGCCTGACTCTCTAACTCAACAGCCTTCCTCACTACCCAAAGATTTACTGAACACTTACTATGTCAGACACTGTGTTGGAAGAAGATAAACATGAACCTGACTATTGAGCAAACAAGTAAGGGCTTTAACCAAGGCATGAACAGAGTTATGGGGTTCTGTAGAGGTGACTCTGGGTGCTCTGGGCATCCTGGGGCAGAGGGTACGTAGGAAGGAAGGGTGGAAGCAAAAGAAAAGGCTGGGAAAATAGAGCAGCAGAGATGGCGGGGGCAGGGAGTGGGCATTTGCCATTTTAACTTTGTATTATATAATGGAAAAACCAAGGTTTCTACATAAAAGATGTGTATATTTGCTTTATGTTTTGTTCTAGAATCAGAATTATTACTAATGAGGGTGGGGCAGGCTAGCTTTCTGCTAATTTCCTTTCTGGAAATTAATAGGTAATTGTGATGAATTCCTAATGTTGAGAGACAATTCTCGATGGGTGTCTTGTGTTTCTATACCTCTGTGAAAGACAGCTTCAGCTTTTGTCTTTTTAACTACCTTTTCAAGGATGTTTACATACCAAGTAGCCTTGTAAGATAGAGACAGTGTCTCCCTGGGACAGGCATTTATGTTTACTGTACAGAAATAAAGATAAGGTCTCCCTCGGGGGCAAAGGTTGGTCAGGATCGCTTGCAGGCCCCTTTATGAGACTGGGGTTTCCTAAACTCAGGGTTCCTTTGCTGGGTCATAAACCTGCTGTGTGTGTAGTATCCATCTGGGTCACTGTTCCCTGTGGGACTTGGGAAGCAAGAGAAACTACTGCAAATATGAGATTCATTTTACCAGAGGTGCATGCATAATAAAGTCCTTTTGGTCTGACCCAGGAGTCTCAGGCCTTCTCTCAGCATCTATGTACCTGTGACAGGCTAACTTGTTAGCTTGCAAGGAGGGTAAAATCTCAAACACTTCACAATTTTTGATGCTTAAACTAAGATTTTTAGAGAGGAATGGTCTGGGATACTTTTATGGGGCTAGAGATTGGAAAAGAAGATAATTCTGAAGTATCTGAGTTGGGTGACTGGGCAGAAGACTGGGCAGAAGATGGTGGTGGTGTTAAAAGGAGGAACACAGAAAGGAAAGCGGGTTCCTGTAAAATGAGTTGGCTTTGACACATTTGGTTGGAGATGCCTAGAGGATCTTGAGGACGAGATAGGCAGGTGGGCAGGTTCTTATTCCAGCTGAACCATGAGTACAGGGGATGCTCCATAAACAAACTGAGCCCCCCAGGCCTCAGTGCTCCCCTTGGCACTTCCTAAACTCACACATCATTGTGTTGTCTCAGGGTCCCCAGAACACACCAACAACAGATCCACTTTTTTTGAAAAGTATGCTTAAATCAGTCAGACATGGTGGTGTGCACCTGTAGTCACAGCTATGTAAAAGGTTGAGGTGGTAGGATTGCTTGAGCCTGAAAGGTAGAGGTTGCAGTGAGCTGTGATCATGCCACTGCACTCCAGACTGGGTGACAGAGCAAGACCTTGTCTTAAAAAAAAAACAAGGCGTGCTTTTCCCAACACTTAGGGAATCAAATTCCCGGAGCTGGAGCCTGGGCATCTGAATTTTTTTAAAGCTCCAAAGGTGATTCTGATCTGCAGCCAGAGTAGAAAAACGCCAACTATTTTTTTTAAGGGCAATGACACTTTCCCTAAAGTCCTCAGAGTGTGGCCTGGCCAACAAGAGTCCTCACCTTGTTTGGTCAAGTAGGTGGCCGTTTCCTGAATTGGTAGCCCAGGATTTCTGTTTGACCTCCATCCTTTCTGAGGCCACTGAGTTCTGACTCAGGGACCAATTATCACTTGCCAAGTAAAGCACTGTACTTAAAGAGATCAGATACCCTGAGCCAGCCAGCTCCTAGATGTTGCTCTAAAGTAGACATTGTCTCCCAGAATGGTTCAGAGATTTTTCTGCTCCCCTAAACTTTCTGGAATCCTGCCTGACACATCCTCTGGATTAATCATCAGGATACCCTCATGCCCAGCATATGGGGCATAGCCCCAGATACAACCATTCCCTACCCCCATCATCCTTATGAAAAGCCATGTTCTCTTAGACTTCTGAAGTCTTTTGCCGATAGTTTGAGACTTTGAGCTTTTAGAGAAGGCAGAGGGGATGGTTGTGTGCTTGGTTAGCTCATGGCCTTTCTCCTTAGCTTTCCGCGTGCCCATGTGTACCTCATAGCCCTTCCATGTGCTGGCATGACTTCTTCCTGTCTTGGAAAGGCTTTTTTCTCTATATGATCATGTCATCAGCAAACAGCAACAGTGTGGCTTCCTCTTTACCAATTTGGATGCCGTTTATTTCTTTCTCTTGCCTAATTGCTCTGGCTAGGATTTCTAGCACTATGTTGAATAGAAGTACTGAAAGTAGGCATCCTTGTCTTGTTCCAGTTCTCAGGAAGAATACTTTTAACTTTTTCCCATTCAGTATAATGTTGACTGTGGGTTTGTCATGGATGGCTTTTATTATCTTAAGGTATTTCCCTTCTATGCCAATTTTGCTGAGGGTTGTAATCATAAAGCGAGGCTGGATTTTGTCAAATGCTTTTTCTGCATCTATTGAGATGACCATGTGATTTTTGTTTTTAATTCTGTTTATGTGGTGTATCACACTTTCTGATTTGCACATGTTAAGTATGCAGGGATGCAGAACACATCCCTGGTATGAAAAGCACTTGATCATGCTGGATTATCCTTCTGATATGCTGTTGAATTTGGTTAGCTAGTATTTTCTTGAGGACTTTTGTATCTACATTTATCAGGGATATTGGTCTGTAGTTTCCTTTTTTGTTATGTCCTTTCCTGGTTTTGCTATTGGGTTGATACTGGCTTCATAGAATGACCTAGGGAGGATTCCCTGTTTCTCCGTCTTTTGAAATAGTGTCAATAGAATTGGTACCAAATCAATCTTTGAATGTCTGATAGAATTCAGCTATGAACCTGTCTGGTCCTGGACTTTTTTTTTCTTGGTAACTTTTTTTACCATTTCAATATCACTGCTTGTAATTGGTCTGTTCAGAGTTTTTATTTCTTCTTTTTTTAATCTAGGTAGGTTGTATATTTCCAGAAATTTACCTGTCTCCTCTAGGTTTTCTAGTTTATGTGCATAAAGGTGTTCTTGGTAGCCTTGAATGTTTCTTTTGTATTTCTGTGGTGTGGATTATAATATCTCCTGTTTCATTTCTAAGTGAGCTTATTTGGATCTTCTCTCTTCTTTTCATGGTTAATATCATTAATGGGCTATCAACTTCATTCATCTTTTCAAAGAATCAGCTTTTTGTTTCATTTACCTTTTGTATTTTTTTGTTTCACTTTCATTTAGTTCCGGCTCTTTGTTATTTCCTTTCTTCTGCTGAGTTGGGGTTTGGTTTGTTCTTGTTTCTCTAGCTCCTTGAGGTGAGACCTTAGATTTTCTATTTGTGCTCTTTCAGATTTTTTGATATAAGCATTTAATGCTATGAACTTTCCTCTTATCACTCACCACCTCTGCTGTATCCCAGAGATTTTGATAGGTTATGTCACTATTATCACTGAGTTCAAAGAACTTTTTTTTGTTTGTTTTTTGAGACAGAGTCTCACTCTGTTGCCCAGGCTGGAGTGCAGTGGCATGATCTTACAAGCTCCACCTCCCAGGTTCACGCCATTCTCCTGTCTCAGCTTCCTGAGTAGCTGGGACTACAGGCACCAACCACCACACCCGGCTAATGTTTTGTATTTTGTACAGACAGGGTTTCACCGTGTTAGCCAGATGGTCTCGATCTCCTGACCTTGTGATCTGCCTGCCTCAGCCTCCCAAAGTGCTGGGATTACAGGCGTGAGCCACCGCACCTAGCCGAGTTCAAATAACTTTTAAATTTCCATCTTGATTTAATTGTTGACCCAATGGTCGTTCAGGAGCAGGTTATTTAATTTCCATGTATTTGCATGGTTTTGAGGGTTCCTTTTGGAGTTGATTTCCAATTTTATTCTACTGTGGTCTGAGAGAGTACTTGTCATAATTCTGATTTTCTTAAATTTGTTGAGACTTGTTTATTGGCCTGTCATATGGTCTATCTTGGAGAATGTTCCATGTGCTGATGAACAGAATGTATATTCTGCAGTTGTTGTGTAGAATGTTCTGTAAATATCTGTTAAGTTCATTTATTCTAGGGTATAGTTTAAGTCCATTGTTTCTTTGTTGACTTTCTTTCTTGATGACCTGTCCAGTGTTGTCAGTGGAGTACTGAAGTCCCCCAGTATTATTGTGCTGCCGTATATCTCATTTCTTAGGTCTAGTAAGAATTGTTTTCTAAATCTGGGAGCTCCAGTTTTAG